CGCAGAATGCCCTAAACCAGTGGTTCTCAACCTTGGCTGCACATTAGAATCACCTGGAAATCTTTTTAAAATCCTGATATCTGGGTCTCATCCTCCGGAAATTCAGTTTCTTTGTTATGGGGTGGGGCCACAACATTAGTAACAAAGAAACAGAATTTCCGAAGGTGAGGCACAGAAATCAGGATTTTAAAAAGATTCCCAGGTTTTTCTAATGTGCAGCCAAGGTTGAGAACCACTGCCCTAAACAAAGGTTAGTCAGCTTACCCAAAACAGAAACGAAAGCCATGGTTTTACCTGTTGGTTCCAATATTGGTCCTTTTCCAGGTTTTGCATTTGTCTCTTGATCCATCATCCACTCTTCTCTTTGTGGCTCTTTGTGGCTGCCTCTCTCTGTAGTGACAATTTGTGGCTCTTTGTCTCTTTGTACTAAGATCACATTTTCCCAGGTTCAAAAGGACGCAGCATGGTTTCAGGGGTTGAGATGGCACAATCAATGTTATTTCAGCTTACCTAATAAAATGTCGCAATCATTCACCAAAATAAAAAAAAAAATTAAAATATGTTTACCATTAGTACATTTGCACTGGTTCTCCCTAATAATGCCACTAAATATCAATACAGAATTTTATGAAGAAAACGATAAGGTGTTCAGGGGCTGGTAAGTTGGAAGTTAGGGAATATGGGCAGCAGATCTACTGCATCTGCCACAGTTTGGGAGGAGAATCACATCTGAGACACAGAGAAAAATTACCTTCCAGAAAAAGATTGGTATGATTTTTAGAAAGGAAATATAAATACCACGATTTAATTTATTCCAAAATTACTCAAACTATAGAAATCTATTCTTGGGGATGACACTAAAAACTTCTTTAAAAATATATTTTTTATTGATTTCAGAGGAGAGGGAGAGTCAGAAACATCAATAATGAGAGAGAATCATTGATTGGCTGCCTACTGCACACCCCCTTACTGGAGATTGAGCCTGCAACCTGGGCATGTGTCCTTGACTGGAATCGAACCTGGGACCCTTCAGTCCACAGGCCAAAGCTCTAGTCACTGAGCCAAACTGACTAGAGCTAAAATTTTTGTCAAAGATGATATTCGTTTGATGCTGTGCCTTCAGAAATAATTTGTGAAGGCACAAAGGAACTAGCAATGCATGGTCTTTGCATAGAGCATTTTGACTCACTCTAAATTAATGCAAACCTGGATATCATCTGAACCTATTTTCTCTGGCATGTTAAAAGAATTGCATTAACTTATTTGTGCTAAATGAGAAAGTACTCTGAATGAGAAAAAAGTAATGGATTGCATGCTGAGAATAACCTATGGATTAATATTTAAAGTTTCTCAAGAGAAGTCATAATAAAACTCCTTGGAACAGATAGTATAATGGTATTAGTCATAGATTTCTGGAAATGCTGATCCAACAACTTTTAGCACTGGAAGCTTTTTATTTATAGAAACTCATAATAATTATTGATCCAAAATAAGCTCAGGTTGTATTTGATGCTTCCTTAATATTCTGTGGTGGAATGGTATAATTTTTGAATTTTATTGTTTTAGTCTGGTCCATAGCCATCATGTCTTGATTATTGCACATTTAGAAGTTCCTCAGACCTCTGCAAATGTTGGAGAATTTTGGAGAATATAATTTGACAGGTTAATTTTACTGCCAAAGAGTGTCATAATTTAATATTACCAGGGAGAAATGAATATTCACTTTTCCAAAAATACAGGAGGAAATGACTTACTTTTGGAGAACTTTTAAAAAAAATGACACACATGAATATTTTAAACTTAAAGTCATTTCTATGAATCATCACTGAATATAATACTGTAAATTTATAGCATAGGGCTGAAAATTTTTCAGGGGCCATCTTCATTCTCTCATATCTTCCTGGTCCACAAATCTGAGCAGATACCCTTACTTCCAAGCAAGTAATTAATAGTAGAAGTGAAATAAGTTCTTGTTACTAAAACTTCATTAATTTTATAAACATTAGGGGTGAGTTAATTAAATGTTTGACCAAATATAGCACGCTAATTTTTAAGTTGATAATTTTGTCTGGCCCATGAATAATGCTGTAAATATCCAAATGGCCCTTGGCAGAAAAAAGGTTTCCCACCCATGTCCTAGAGAAAACCTAAAACACAACAACATGGCAAATCAGAATGATTTATGTTAGCTACTATAACAAGCAACCTCTACAATTGCTGGGGCTTAACACAATGAGGTTTATTTCTTGCTCACATAACAGTCCATCTGGTCGGGTTGCTGTTCCGGCTGTCACTCTTTCATTCAGTGACATAGGAATCTGGGGTCCTTCAAGCCTATACCATCTTGCAGTTCTTTGTTTCTAGACATGTAAACAGGGGAGAGAGCACACAGAAGGTCATGTATGATGTCTTTGCCACACCTAGAAGTGGCATACATCACTTCTGCCCACATTCTGCTGGTGGTCCCAACGCAACTGCAGAAAGAGCTGGGAAATGTAGGCCTGTGTTCCCAGGAAGAGGAAATGGAATTAGTGAGCACGCAGCCAGTCTGTGACACATGAAAAGGTTGAAAATAAGAAAAAATGCAAAATGATATACCAGGCGGATGCTAACCAGAAGAAAGCTGGAATAGCTTTGCTCATAATGGATAAAAAAGTCTTCAAGGCAAAATGCATGATTAGGAATAAGGAGAGTAGCTACATAAAGATAACAGATCCAAATCGCCAGGAAGAGATGCTAATTCTGAAATTATGTATGTACCTAATGATATCTTCAAATAACTGACAGAATTTTAGGAGAAACTGACAAGTCCACTGCCGTAGTAGAATTTAACATATACCCTTCCCAGTAATTGATGTCACACAGCCCCCAAATTAGTAGCAATAGAAAATATAAACAATACAATTAACAAGCTTGATCAAAAAAGGACATGTATTGGAAAAAGTTTTCAATTAGTAATAATTGCACCTTGGATAAACCTCATTGGCTGAAGAAAAGACAAGTATAGAATCTTGTATCCAATGGCAGACAATGTACATTTTTCTTTTTCTATACTGGATGCTTTCTTTCTTTTCTTCCTTAAGAGTGCAAAAAGCATTTATCCAAACTGAACATATACTTGGCTAGAAAGCCAGTCTCAACAAATTTCCCAGAATCAGCATCATACAAATCATGTTCTCTGATTACAGTGCAATTAGGTTAAAAATAAACAACAGAAAGATAAGCAAAAGAAAGAAAACTGTGTATGAAGATGTTTACTCTAGTGTTAATTACCTACAATAGGAAAAATTAGAATCACTGAAATATCCAATGATATGGGTATGGTTACATAAATTATGCCTCATCAACCCAATAGACTATCATGTGGCCATTAAAGTTATTTTTTAAATGGACTATGTTTTTTTAAAAATATATTTTATTGATTTTTTACAGCAAAATGGACTATGTTTAAGATGCAATATTAAGTGAAAAATTTAAATCTACAGGGGTGGGCAAAAGGACTAGAGTTGTAATACAAATAAATAATACAATAATTGCCCTAGCTGGTTTGGCTCAGTGGATAGAGTGTTGGCTTGCGGACTGAAGGGTCCCGGGTTTGATTCCGGTCAAGGGCACATACTGAGGTTGCAGGCTCCTCCCTGGCCTAGACCCTGGTTGGGGCACGTGCAGGAGGCAACCGATCGATGTTTCTTTTGCATCGATATTTATCTCTGTCTTTCCCTCTCTCTTCCACTCTCTCTAAAAACCAATGGAAAAATATCCTTGGGTGAGAATTAAAAAAACAAACCCAATAATTAATAAATAATAATACAAGAATAAACTCTTCATAAAATTTTCTTTCTTTTGCTTATCTTTTTGTACTCACAACTGTAAACCTACTTTTGCCCACCTTTGTCTGTTACTTATGATTATAATCATGTGAAAATATGTGTGCATTTAGACAGATTAGAAAGATATAAGCAAATTAAAACAATTGTTGTATTATAGTGATGAGATTATGTGTGATTCTACTTTAAAAGGATATTCTATGATGTGGTTATATTGTTTAATGTGAGTTAAAAGAATCAATAGAAGACGTTGATGGTAGTTATGTCTTTTTTTATGCTAGTTATGTCTTAATATCAATTATCACTTTCTTTTATAACAACTGAATTTTAGTATGGTACACAACTGCCCAAAATGAGAGTACATTTCCTAGCCTCCCTTGCAGCTAGGCATTATGACAGGACAAAGTCATAGCTAATAAGAGAAGTGGCTGCCCTTAAACATAAAGAGCCTGTCCTTCCTTTGTCCTTTTCCTTCATCTTGTTACCCTAAATCTCCCTTAGCTTTGTTTTTGCACATACTATGGGTTGACTGAATCTTATATGCATTTGATTGAAATAGGAACTGTTTCATAATTTAACAAATGAGAATAAACATGATTCATGAGGTAAGTATGTTTCTATTGAACCAGTGTCCAATACAAACTCTGAAAACAAGGAGATTATCTGTCCCATTTTTGGAGATCAAATGAGAATATATTAATATTGAAAAGTACATGTTTAGTGCTCTCCCTCCTGGGAGCACGCCTGCGCCTTTCCCTTCCCCTCTATTCCTCCACAGGCATGCATCTCCTAAACCCTAAGGGTCTCTACAAGACTTGCAACCAGGGGAGCAATGGGTGGCAGCTCCTCCTCCTGTGCTAAACCCCTGAACCTGTCTCCAAGGCCCCCTTTTCTCTGACTTCCCAGTGAGCCAAAGCAACCCTGCTGAGGGTCTCCTTTGCTTTTTCTATGCTAAGCCCTCCCTTGTTTCACTGTCACCAGCTTTTTTTAAAAAATATATTTTATTGATTTTTTACAGAGAGGAAGGGAGAGGAATAGAGAGTTAGAAACATCGATGAGAGAGAAACATCGATCAGTTGCCTCCTGCACACCCCCTACTGGGGATGTGCCCACAACCTAGGTACATGCCCTTGACCAGACTCGAACCTGGGACCCTTCAGTCCGCAGGCCGACGCTCTATCCACTGAGCCAAACCGGTTAGGGCTGTCCCCAGCTTTAATAAATGAACTCCCCCCCAAAAGAGTACACATTTGTGTTAAATATATTCCAGTGGGAATCATACACATTTACTCCAATATTCTTTATCATTTAAGAGATTGTTTTAGCAGAGAATGAGATCCATTTATAGGCTGCTTTGCCTGAGTTAAAGCAGCAATCAACCTCCACATTTTAAATGTTAAACAAAATAAAAGAATGTATTTTTAAAGTTAAATAAATAATGCCCTTTGTTTAATTATCACAGCCTCTGGTAAGGTTTGATATAATCCAATAGCCTGGATCACAAAAGATCAATACTTCACACTATATCAGGCATGAGAATTTATCAATTCAAAAGGAAATTGATAAATACTACTGAAAATAGTCTTCATACTTGAAAAATATCCAAAGAGCAACATGAAAGCAGATGCAACATTCTGTCCCAACTGCTTGCAATGCTCAATAATGATTAGGTATGCTATGTCACACTGACTGTAGCAACAAATGCATTATTAATTTTATTATAATTGAGAATTGGTCAATCACAAGCTGTTCTGTAAAAACAAAATGCTACTGAAAAAAAAGACACTGAAGGCTGACTCCCTAGCAGCCTTTTATTCTGTGAATTCTAATATTTATGCTAAGCATGGCCTGTTCAGATATTTTTAAAAATGAAGGAAAGTCAAAATTGAATAAAAGTGCTAGGGATTCATATATGCACCATTTCTTGAACAAAATTGTATATTGTTAGTTTGAGGGCATCTAGTTGAAATAATTTATTCAGCTTAAACTTCTGCCAGTAAAAAATATTTGCACCCATGGTAATACAAAAAGGACTTAAAAATCTGTCGCACATTTGGTTCAGAGAGCATACTGAGGCCTTGTTTATATTTTTCCCTTTGGTATTCATATTCATCATTTATAGACAGACAAGCAATTTATTAAATCACTTAGTTTTTTCCCCAATTAGGTGTGCATTAAAATGGTGGATAATGCTGAACATACAATTTTTGAATCCAGTAAAATGGTTCACTTTTGTCTTCCAAATTGTCATCTGACAGAGGTACTTTATATTTCACAATTTCAAAACTTGGGGCAGAGAAGACAACCCTTCGTTGTTGCTGTATTTCTGGTCTGTCTGTCCGAGGTTCCTAGGTAGAATTATAAATGAAAGCAGAAAGTGTTTTATATTTGCTTTTTATTACTTTGTTTTTATAATTGACTTTTTGTACTTAGCCTCATCTCAATAAATGTATAACATATTAAAGAATTGCAAAGCAATACATGAATACATATGCATTATAAATATTCCTATGATGTAGGAGTATACTGAGGCAGAATTTACACAGTATAGCTTTTATATTTTTAAAATATGTTTTATTGATTTCAGAGAGGAATGGAGAGGGAGAGAGAAACATCAATGAGGAGAGAGAATCACTGATCGGCTGCCTCTTGCATGTCCCACACTGGGAATGGAGCCTGCAACCCGGGCATATGCCCTGTCCGGGAATCGAACTGTGACCTCCTGGTTCATAGGTTTATGCTCAACCACTGAGCCATACTGGCTGGGCAGTATAGCTTTTTTAACTTTATTTTTATTGCTAACACTATTACAGATGTCCCTATCACTTCCTCACCCCCAACCCCCACCTAGCCCCTCCACCCAGCCCCTGACCCTCTTCCCTCTGGCCAACACCACACTGGTGTCTGTGTCTATGGGCTATGCATGTATGTTCTTTGGCTAATCTCTTCACCTTCTTTCACCCAATCCCCACACCCCTCCCCACTCTGACAGCTGTCAGTCTGTTCCATGTATGCACGCCTCTGTTTCTATTTTGTTCATTAGAGTCACACTATAGCTTTTAAGAAGTTCATATAGAAATGACTTCCACTCTGAGAAAAGCACCATTAAAGATGTGCTGACTCATCAGTGTTAATATATAGAGGGTTTTGGGGGTTTTTTGCCAGCTCATGCTGATGTGAAGCCTGAACGACTGGTATTAATCAGGTTTAAGAATTTCAAAAATATGTGTTACCAAGAGAAATGTAGCTTTATACTATCCAAAGGATATAACAAAGGGTTTTCAGCCTTGAACATGTAGATTAGAAAAATTCTACTCATAGAAGTAGAATTACTTGCAGTTTGCATATTGCCCAAAACAATGAATTCAGTACAAGTTAAACTTACAGTCTTCACAGAAGTGCTTGCTTTTTTCTCCTTCTCATAAGCTTTTTTCATTTTTTCATTTTTCATTTTCGCTTGCTTGGATCGACGACCCAGATGTTTAAATTGAACTTGCTTTTGGAAGGGCCGATATAAACGTTGGCTACTCAACAGAGGTAAGTACCTTGGAAATATTTGTATTGCAGGCAGAAAAATTGTACAAAATAAAAGTTAAACATACAGCAAGTTCCAAATTTTATTAAAGCATCCTCTAGCAAATATATCATAGATCTCAGTATTTGCAGCAATATTGCATATATATTTTAAGGCCAAAGTTATCACTTCTACTTGATTTACATAGCATAGTTCTTTATCTGCCACAATGACATTGATGATAATGATAAAAATTATAAAACATGGTTATCAATTGAAAATCAGTTTTCCTGGGAAATACTGTGTAGTAGCCATTTGAATATTTTTTTAACCGTATACTAACACAAAAAAGTATTAAATTCATAATAGCTGAGAAAACACACACAAACTTTTTAAATCAGTGTTGGGCTCAGACATAGTTTGTACTATGCCCGTAGCCCCCTGGCTTTACCACTGCAGGGCACACAGCCCCAACTTCCAACTGCTAGCACTGATCTCACTGAGCCTGCGAGCTTTCTTGTGAAAACAAGAAGCCATGTTCGGGGAAACTGCCTGAGAACTAATACCACCTCTCCTAAGCAATCCTTAACCAATGACTAATGGCCATTGGTGTACAAATATCCCAACTCCTTTGCCCCCTGCGGGATAACTTGAGTTGCATGTTCTGTACAGACTCAGATATTCCCAGGAGAGATTCAGCTCGTTACCCACAGTGGTAGCTTGCTTGCTAACACACACTGTTTTGGCTGCCTGCCCTTCCCCATTTCACTTCTCTTCCTTGTCTCGTTTGCTTCTGGGAGATCCCAAACTAAGACTACATTTGAAAAACCTTTAAGAAAGTCCTTTCCCCTCTTTAATTGATTTAGAATGTGGCTACTTATTTGGTTCTTTAAAGCAACTCATTCTTGGATAATCAGTAGCATGAGTCCAAACAGCTAGGAGTCTAGGGTTATATATGGTGGCAGAGAAAATTACATCATTTATTTCACATTGGTGGTAATAGGGTTAAGTTCTGTATTCAGTGCTTACATGGATGAGTGAGAGGAAATCTATTTTATGATGACAGACTGTGCCCTACACCAGGCCATCTGTCTGGCAAATGTATAGTCTTGATCATAAAAATAAATGGGCTAAATTATGTTATTGGGTCAGCACCACTCATCTCTACTGAAAAAAAAAAAAACACCCACAAAACAAAACCCAGCATGTTTGTGTGACAATGGGTCACCAGTGTTTTCTTCAGGTACTAAAGGAGTATTTTTCATTTCAAATATGACAGTGTGAAAATGGACTACCAATAGGTCCTCTTCAGTCTTATTATCTTTTTCTTAAGAAAGAAAGCTTAATCTGTAAACAAGATGGGTTAGGTGAGACTTGGTAATGGAAGGAAAAAAGATATAATTGGAGTAGGCATATTCTGTTCATGTTGTTCAGATCATAATACAGTCCATTTCGCTACAACATGCATTTCTATAATGTGAATTGGCTCACATGCTATTGGTAAAGAAGGGAATAATGTCACTGTGATTTATATGCAATTTATCTTCAGCAAGGCGAGGCAGAGTAGCAAGAGCAGAATTATAACCTTCAGCAGAAAGGAAAAAGTCCTGAGCTCTGTGCAGCATGGGCAATGGGAGCCCTTCTGGACGTATTTATAAAAACAACAGGTAGCACCTGCACTAGAGCTCTCTCCCCAGAGAGGCACCCCACCCCCACAGTCCACCCTTACTGTCCTCCACTCTACTCCCCACCTTGGGTGGCTCTCGGTTCTTGGCAAGTTGCACTGACTCTCATGTCCACTTAAAAGGCAACCACTCTGGCCCAAGGCTCCACTTCTATCTGCACTCTCTCGATATCCACTGCTTGCTCTAATTAAAGAGTTGCCAGCATCTCTACCCTACATTTTTATATTTGCTGTGGTGGCCTCCGGCCATCCTAAACTGCCTGTCTGGTGATAGAAGTTACCTCCCCAGGTAGCAATTGTCCTGTTTGTTGGTGCTATGTTTACAAAGTTGCATAAATTTTGAGCAATCTGCCTCAACCCTGTTATTACATTCTGTGAACTATTTGGCAGAATATGAACATTTTCAGAAATGTCTCTAGTATCATAACCCTAGTGAGAGGTCACTTTTACCTAGCTTGGGTAATAATCCGCAGCTGGTTTTGACGCATCTCTTCTGTTTGTGGTCTCTGTAATAAGTACTTCATTTCTTTTCGCAGACGTCTTGAGACTACTCTAGACTCTGCATAATCAATTATGTCATACATTATCATAGTCTTGGGAATGTTTTTGAGGTTCAATCTTCTCCAACAGTTATTTCTTCCACCAGAAGATGCAGGGGTCTTATCCAGAACACTGGAATACTACAAGGTGGAACCAAAGTAGGTTTACAGTGATGAGTATGTGAAACACAGAGTTTATACTTGTATTATTATTTATTAACTAGAGGCTTGGTGCATGAAAATTCATGCACTGGACGGGTGTGTGTGGGGGGGTCCCTCAGCCATGCCCTGGGCCTCAGTCAGTGGGAGGCGCAGGAGGACCCGAGGCCCCCAGCGGGGCTTAGAGGATTCTGGTGGCAGGTGCGCAGAGTGGCCAGCCCTGCCATCTTTGTGATGATGTGACAGTCAATTTGCATATTACCTTTTCATTATATGGGATTATTATAGTATTTTCCATACAAACAACTATAAACCTACTTTTGCCCCACACAGTGGAAAGAACAATTACGAATGATTGGTTGTGGTGCTCTAGAATGGTTTTAGACACATTTCCTAAGGTTCCACTCAAATGTCACTTCATTCAAAAGATATTCCTTGAACATCTCTGATTTGATTGGTATCTCTCTTCTATGACTCTTAATGCTCACTAATTGATGTTTTAGCTGTCTGTGTATATCTTAGCTCCCCTACTGGAAGGCAGAATCCCTGTCACATAGAATCATGTACATGGTACCACACTCACTACATATTTCTTTAATTTATAAACATTTTTTAAAAAAATATATTTTATTGATCTTTTACAGAGAGGAAGGGAGAGAGATAGAGAGTTAGAAACATCGATCAGCTGCCTCCTGCACACCCCCTACTGGGGATGTGCCCGCAACCCAGGTACATGCCCTTGACGGGAATCAAACCTGGGACCTTTCAGTCCACAGGCTGACGCTCTATCCACTGAGCCAAACCGGTTTCGGCAATTTATAAACATTTTAATGGCAAATATAACTCACATAAAAGGCTCTGATCAAAAATAGCAGTGAAGTGGAAGCTACACTGACACTCTTCCAGGATGAAACTGGAAATACAACCAAAATACAGAAAATATACCCTGAAAAGTCAACTGAAGACCAGCTGGAGAGAACCCTGATAACCAAGGGTGGAAAGTGGAGACTGCACAGAGACTGGTAGGAAGGGTGGAGGTGCTAGAGGGCTGGCTGGGCTCCCACAGACAACAGCTGAAGGTCTGGAGGGTTATCTTAGCTGTGGGGGGGTTCCCACTGAGAACTCTGGGGTCTAAACTCCAAGCTGGACCCCCCCAGCCTAGAGCACCAGAACTGAGAAAGGTGCCCACATAACACCTGGCTGTAAAAGCAGCAGCGTTGCTGTCAGCCAGAGACTACTGGAAATGCAGGCACCATCTTAAGGGACCAATCCACAAAATTTTGTGTGCAGCCACTCACTTTGGGTTCTGGCAGAGGGAGGGCAGAGTAGACTGAAGCTATGTGAGGAGAGTCCAGGTTTGGGGGCTTTGGGATAGGAGCTTGGATGGCAACCACGCCAGTTTCCTGTGTTGAATCATTCCCTCACACTGTGGAGAACATCTTTCTCTGTAGACCTTTGCTATCCAGGCATTTTTGGCCTGGGGGAAGGCAGTTATCACACCCTGCTGAAAGACCTCTTGCCTCATCCTGTGGTCCATACCGGAGGCTAATCAAGGCTGATAACAATCACACTGCAGGTAGAGGCGGATCTCTGGAGGCTTTGAGTCTTTGCCCGACCTCCTTCTGGGCCCGGGGCTAGGAAAAGCAGACCCAGGTGTACATCGTACATCGTGGTCCTTTCCAAAGGCACTCAGCCACAGCAGAGGGACCCACTAGCTTCAGTTTGCTGGTAATCCCAAACGGGGTACTCAGGGCCAGTCAGAAACAGCATCTGACATTTTCTTGCACTAGAGATTGGAAGTTGTAGACCTACCTAATACATAGACACAAACCCAAACAGGAAGCCAAAATGGGGAGATAAAAAACAACCCCAAAATTAAAGAACAAGAGAATTATCCTAAAGAAGAGCTAAAGAAAATGGAGATAAGAAATTTATCTGATACTAGAGGCCGGTGCACGAAATTAATGCACAGGTAGGGTCCCTAAGCCTGGCTGGTGATCAGGGCCGATCTGTGGGCTAACTAGCGGGTGGTCAGGGCCCCCCACTCACACCTGCCTTGGCCGGCCTGGTGCTGCCCACTCACTGGCCCCACCCCCCCGACGCTGCCTGTCTCCTCCCTCTGTGGGGCAACTGGGGCAATCAGGGCATGCCCATTCACCAAAATGGGGAGATAAAAAACAACCCCAAAATTAAAGAACAAGAGAATTATCCTAAAGAAGAGCTAAAGAAAATGGAGATAAGAAATTTATCTGATACTAGAGGCCGAATAATGATGGTAAAGATGCTCAACAGCATGAGAAAAGATATAGTAACTATGAAGAATGACATAGCACTGATAAAGACCACAGTAGAAAGGGGGTGGTCAGAGCCCCCCACTCACACCTGCCTTGGCCGGCCTGGTGCTGCCCACTCACTGGCCCCACCCCCCCGACGCTGCCTGTCTCCTCCCTCTGTGGGGCAACTGGGGCAATCAGGGCATGCCCATTCACACCCGCCTTGGCTGGCCTGGGGCCTGCAGGCTGAGGGCAGCTCCTGTGTTGAGTGTCTGCCCCCTGGTGGTCAGTACACATCATAGCAACCAGTCATTCTGCTGGTCTTTCCACATTTCTGTCGATTTGCAGATTAGGCTTTTATTATATAGGATAGAGTTCAGAATGATGGCAAAGATGCTCAACAGCATGAGAAAGGATATAGTAACTATGAAAAAAGACCAGTCAGAAATAATGACATAACACTAATAAAGAACAAATTGGAAGGAATACTCAGCAGATTATGGGAAGCCAAGGTTTGGATCAGTGAATTAGAAGACAGGGCAGAAAAAAATCACTCAATCAGAGAACCAAAAAGAAAAAACAATTAAAAACCAGTACAGCTTAGCCGGCATGACTCAGTGGTTGAGCGTTAAACTATGAAGCAGGAGTGCACAGTTAGATTCTCAGTCAGGGCACATGCCTGGGTTGTGGGCTTGATCCCCAGTGGTGATTGTGCAGGAGACAGCCAATCAATGATTCTCTCTCATCATTGATGTTTCTCTCTCTCCCTCTCCCTTCCTCTCTGAAAATCAATAAAAATATATTTAAAAACAAAACAAAAAAAACAGGACAACAGCTTTAGGGAGCTGCTGGACAACATGAAATGTAACAATATTTGCATAATTGGAGTGCCAGAATTAGAGGAAAGTGAGCAAGGGACAGAGAACGGGTTTGAGGAAATAATGGCAGAAAACTTCCCTAACCTCGTGAAGGAAAAAGTCACACAAGTCCAGGAGGAACAGAAAGTCCCAAGTAAGAAGAACCCATACAGGCTCACACCCAGACACATCATAATTAAAATGCCAAACATTAAAGACAAAGAGAGGCCGAAACCGGTTTGGCTCAGTGGATAGAGCGTCGGCCTGTGGACTGAAAGGTCCCGGGTTCGATTCAGGTCAAGGGCATGTACCTTGGTTGAGGGCACATCCCCAGTAGGAGATGAATCAATAAAATATATTTTAAAAAATAAATAAAGACAAAGAGAGAATCTAAAGGCGGCAAGAGCATTTTGTAGCACTTTGTTACCTACAAAGGAGCTCCCATAAAGCTGTCAGCTGATTTCTCATCAGAGACTCTACAGGCCAGAAGTGAATGGAATGAAGTATTCACGGTAATGAAAAGCAAGGATCTAAAACTAAGCTTGCTATACCCAGCAAAGCTAACATTCAAAAAAGATGGTAAAATAAAGAGCTGCCCAGATTTTTTTTTTAAAAAAAGAAAAGGCTAAAGGAGTTTATCACCACCAAATCAGCACTGCAAGAAATGTTAAAGGTACTGCTGTAATGAGAAGAAACAGAGAGAAACATAGGCATACAGAATTAAAATGGCAATAAATAAATACCTATCGCTTGGCTAGCGTCACTCAGTGTTTGCACGTCAACCTATGAACCTGGAGGTCATGGTTCGATTCCTGGTAAGGGCACATGCCCAGTTGCGGGCTTGATCCCCAAAGAGGGGCATGCAGGAGGTAACCAATCATTGATTCTCTCTCATCATTGGTGTTTCTATCTCTCCTTCCCTCTCCCTTTCACTCTGAAATCAATAAAAAATATATTTTTTTCGAAAGTATATATGCACCCCTATGTTCCTCGCAGCACAATTTACAATAGCTAAGATTTGGAAACAGCCTAAGCACCCATCAGCAGATGAGTGGATTAAAAAACTGTGGTACATCTACACAATGGAATACTCCGCTGCTTTAAAG